AGGCTCAGTCAACAACTGTCGGGAACTTACCTCTTATTAAGCCCTAGAGACTAAACTTCTAGAACTCCCGTGCTTGGCCGAGACCCTCCGCGTGCGTGCGTGCGACGGACGGCTATTACGCGACGGTGATAGCGTGCGCCTGGATGCCATGCGGTGCGCGATAGCTCGGCGATAGGTTACGGTGCGCGCGGTTACTCTCGGCAATCACTCAAAGTTCTCACTAACTCTCTCTATCTTTCGGACTTGGAGAAGAAAATGGAGTAAAATCTCCTAAGCCTCACTTAATAAAAACCAAATGCATGTGAGAGGGGGGAAATGCATGGTCAAAGACTTGGACACTTGGCTCGCATGCTAGATGGTGCTAAGGACACCACACTCTACAATCCAAAGAATCATGCATTACACTCCAAGCTCCCCTCGGCCTCAAATAGCCACGAGAATGCCCACAAAAAAAAATGAAGAAGAAAACTTGAACAACTCCCACTAACATGTGCACGGCACTTTTGGAATGAGGAGAAGGAAATTGAACCACAACACACAAAAAAACAAAAAGGGGGGCACGACTCTCATGACAAGGTGGAAGGCATCTCTTGGAACAAATGCACCAATACACCTCACTTATTCACACGGCACATAGGACAATGTGGGAGGAATCTTGGCACAAAAAACTAACATGCTACACAACAAAATCGCACGGCATCTTAGGCTAGATGGAAAGAGTCTTGACTACAATCCATACACTCACGCATCACACGGCCCTTGCACATGAATTGGTACTCTCCAATGCTAAGGACAATGCACACGGCAATTAGCATGCTAATGGTGATTAATTACCATTAATCATAAATTAAGGCTTAATCAAATAATTAAGCATAATACTTAATTACCAAAATTATTTCGAACGTAAATGGTACGTCGAAAATATTTTCCGGTAATTTCGACTGAAATAACTGAAAATAATTAATTCCGAAAAATAATATCGAAACTAAAATATAATTTATACTGATAAATAGTCGGGATATTACAGCTGAAGCAGTGCCTCTCAAGGAAGTCAAGAAAGAAAATGTATCTGATTTCATCCGCATTAATATTGTCTATCGGTATGGGATCCCTCGACATATAATAACGAATAATGGAAAGCCGTTTTCAAACAGCCATATTGACAAGCTTTGAGAAAAATTTGGTTTCATGCAACGAAAGCCCTCTATGTGTAATGCTGCGGCTAATGGACTTGCTGAAGCATTCAATAAAACTTTGTGCAATTTGTTGAAGAAACTGGTTGCAAAATCGAAACGAGATTGGCATGAGAGGATTGGAGAAGCCTTGTGGGCATACCGAACCACTTTTAGAACGCCGACTCAAGCTACTCCTTATGCACTTGTCTATGGCGTGGAAGCAGTTGTCACCCTTGAGCAAAAAATTCCATCATTGAGGATAACACTACAAGAAGGATTGACGGAAGAAGAAAATGCGCGTCTTCGCCTTGAGGAGTTAGAGGCTCTCGATGAGAAAAGACTGGAAGCTCAACAAAGACTAGAATGTTACCAAGCGCGTCTCTCTAAGGCATTTACCAATAAAGTTCGATTGCGCTCCTTTCAAGTGGGAGATTTAGTTCTTGCAGTGAGAAGACCGATTGTGATGACACATCGTGTTGGGAATAATAAGTTCACGTCAAAGTGGGTGTTGGGTTCTATAAGGAATGTCAAACAACATGCAAAATATTGAACTTATCGAAATAAATCCTAACGCAGTGGAATCTATTGTTAGGATATGGACGTTTACCTTTTAAAATTTTTGCCCACTCAGAGACGATGTAGAATACCGTTGATGTAGTTCGTCTGAACATCACAATCTAATGGGCAGATAGATTTGACCTATAATCGATTCTAATCGATAATTCCAATGAAGCTTGATCACACGGCAGCTAGCTCTCGGCGTCGAGTTGCAGCGGGCGGTTGCGGGCGTCGTTCGCGGATGGCACCAGGTGCGCGTCGGGTGCTGGCGTGACGCGCGGGTAGCAGGAATACGCAGACAGGTGCTGGCGACTGTTGGGCGTGCGCGTGCACGCGGGCGGGACTCCTACGCCTGGGCGGACTGGCGCAGGGAAGTGGATGCACGCGGGCATGCTGTGCACGTAGCAGAGGCGCGCTGGGGACTTGCGCGATC